GGACCTGTTGGCTCTGCAACTTACCTGGCTGCTTCTTGCTCTGACTGAGGGCTGCTGGGAGCAGGGGGTGGGGCTTGTTGCATGTGCCCGCCCCCTGGGCTCTTTACTGCCGGAGCTCCGCTCCTGTGCGCTCCTGCAGGAAATGACCCCTGATTCCAAATATATATTTTTATAAAATTAAGTTTATGGCTTCTCTCTGCACCTGCCCTGGTATATTCACAGCAGTTTCATATGTTCATGTGTTCATATGTGTTCTTCTTCTGTTTTATGAATATTGTACATCGCCCAGAGCCTTGCTGTGGCAAGGATTGGGCAATTCATAGATATAATTAATAATGATGATGATGATGACAATAAATATCCCATTTCTGGAATAAAAGACTGAACCCAGAGGGAGGAAGTTCGCCCGGCTGCTTCAAGCCCTTCTGCTTTTATAACGCCAGCGTTATGCTTTGAAGCTTCCTCCAGAGATAAGAAGGATCATTCCAGAAAATATTTAAAGAATAAACAAATGTTTCAAAATAACAATAAAAGGTTAGGAAACTGGCCGTTGGCGGAGTACAGTGATAATGTTCAGCAGAAAGAGAGGAGGTTTGCTTTTCAAAGAGTTTGAAGAACGTTTGCATTCATAACACCCTAACCCCCCCTACGGGCCACTGGAAGGGTTGCCAACCTCCAGGTGGGCCCTGGCATTCTCTAGGAACGACAGTTGATCTCCAAATGACAGAGATCAGTTTCCCTGGAGGAAACGGCAGCTTCAGAGAATGAGCTCTATGACATTACATCCCCGCTGAGCTCCCTCGCCTCCCCAAACTCTGCCCTGCCTAGGCTCTACCCCCAAATCTCTACAGCAGGGGTGACAAACAGGCGGCCCGGGGGCCGGGTGAGGCCCCCGGAGGGCTCCCATCAGGCCCGCAGTGGAACTGGCTATCTCCTGCTTCCAGTTCTGCTGCTGCTGCTGCATCATAGCTTGCTTCGCCAGTCTCTCTCACTCGCTCAGCCATTTCATGTTTTAACCTGGGTCCTAGACTCAGAACTCTGAGCGTGAGGTTTCTGAGGTGAATGTCGATAAATCAAAAGTAGGTTTTTGCAGCTTACAGAGCTAATGTTTTAAGCATGCTTTTATTCTAAATAAGAAAAATAAATCTTTGTGTTTCTGTCCTTTATAAAGTTTATATCTCCGCTACCTGGCATTAGATTTTATGACACACATGGCCCAACGAGGTCTCATTTATGTCCAGGGCTCTTTTTGTAGAAAAAGCCCAGCAGGAACTCATTAGCATAATAGGCCACACCCAACAGCAAAACCCATTAGCATATTAGGTCACACCCTGACAGCACCGCTCATTAGCGCATTAGGCCACACCGCCATGTTACCAGAAGTGTGGTCATCCAGCCACACTCACCTTTCCCTTCTTATTCTGTTTACCTTGTTTGTTGTCAAAACCCGGGGCTTTTTTTGTAGCAGGAACTCCTTTGCATGTTAGGCCACACACCCCTAATGTAGCCAATCCTAATGAGTTTCTGCTGTTGGGTGTGGCCTGTTATGCTAATATGCTCCTGCTGGGCGTGGCCAACTCGGGAGCCAGCCAGAACTCCGTTCCTGTGCGTTCCTGCCCAAAAATAGCCCTGTATTATGTCACATCCGGCCCCCATGACGAATGAGTTAGACACCCCTGCTCTACAGATTTCCCAACCCAGAGTTGGTAACCATAGGTCCCAGCGCGGCTGATGATCAAACCCATCCAACAGGCTGTGGGTTGAATCATAAGAACATAAGAGAAGCCATGTTGGATTGGACCAATGGCCCATCGAATCCAATGGGGGCCCAAAGAGGCTTACATCAATCTCGTCTCCTCCATATTATCCTCACAACAACCCTGTATGGTAGGGTTGGCTAGACTTGTCGGAACCCACCCCCTTGAAGGCAGGGGTCTCCTGCCGCCAGGCCCCACCTCCCCACCACTGGCCGGCAGGGGGGAGCTTACCCCCCAAAAGAGGGAAATACAGCAATGTGTCTACATCAATGCCCACATGACCCGGAAGTGATGCCATCACATCCAGGTTGTTGGGACGACACTCTGGTACCTGGGAAAAACTCTGTGGTAGAAGCCAAATTTACCGTAGAGTTTTGGCCCAAATATCAGAGCTTCTCCCCGACGTCCCGGAAGCGATGACGTCACTGCTAGGTCACGTAGGCAATGATGCATACATGTCACTGCACATCCGATGGGACTCCCTGCTGCTCCCAGTAAATCCCCCCCATCGCCTGCCGGTTGCCAAGAAGGACCTGGCAACCCTAACATTGGCTGTGAGCCAGTTTGGTGTAGTGGTTAGGAGCACGGACTCTAGAGAGAACTGGGTTTGATTCCCCACTCCTCCACATGCAGCTGCTGGAGTGACCTTGGGTCAGTCACAAGTTCTCTCGGAGCTGTTCTCGCGAGCAGTTCTCTCAGAGCGCTCTCAACCCCACCTACCTCACAGGCAATGCTCCCTCTAAGCTATGGAGTCTTATGAGCAAAAATTCTACTTTGTGAGCTACTGGCATTAAAGTTGTGCGCAAGCGATTTGGCTGCTGCATAAATTAGTTGGCTCTGGAGCCCTCCTTCCTGAGCGAAGACAAAAATGTGTGAGCCGGAGGCTAAAAAACTGTGAGCCAGCTCACACTAACTCAGCTTAGAGGGAACACTGCTCACAGGGTGTCTGTTGTGGGGAGGGGAAGGGGAAGGAGATTGTAAGCTGCTCTGAGACGCCTTCGGGTAGTGAAGACTGGGGTATAAATCCAGTCTCCTCCTCCTCCATCTTCCTCTTCTTCCAGCTCTATGTTTCTAACTTCCTGAAGATGATGCAGGCGGCCTGCCCTGTTTCCCACCATTTGTAAATCATGTCCAAATTCCCAGCCAAAACCCACCTTCAGCAAACTGACACCACCACCCCCCTGAAAAAAAAGTGGATCTAACACTCCTTTTGTCTATGAGCTTTTCATGCAGGTGTTTGCTCTGGGGTCGGTAAGAACAGCCAGGCATTCACGGGAGCTGTGTGTATTGAATCTATAGTTGTCTGCTCCGGGCTGGGGAACTCCTGGAAATTTTGAGGGGGTGGAGTTTTAGGTATTGAAGGCAGGAGACGATGGTCAAAAGGCTTTGTTCAAAACATTGCTCAGCTCTGGACTGCTCTGCAAAGAGCGGCACTCAAACTTATACCGGCAGGGCTCTTTTTGTAGAAAAAGCCCAGCAGGAACCCATTAGCATAACAGGCCACACCCAACAGCAGGAACTCATTAGCATATTGGGCCACACCCCTGACAGCACAGCTTATTAGCACATTAGGCCGCACCCCCATGTTACCAGAAGTGTGGTTATCCAGCCACACCCACCTTTTGCTTGTTATTCTGTTTACCTTGTTTGTTGTCAAAACCCAGGGCTTTTTTGTAGCAGTAACTCCTTTGCATGTTAGGCCACACACCCCTAATGTAGCCAATCCTAATGAGTTCCTGCTATTGGGTGTGGCCTATTATGCTAATGAGTTCCTGCCGGGCGTGGCCAACTTGGGAGCCAGCCAGAACGTCGTTCCTGTGCGTTCCTGCCCAAAAATAGCCCTGCTTATACGATTTCGTAACAGAACTATATGCAACGTTACCAGATTCAGGAGGTCTGATTGGACCTAAGCAGAGCCTCAGGATAGGACATTCTGGGTGCGGTCAGACGGCGTGCTGGGAGCGGTTTTAAATTGCTCCGGCCCTTTTTTAACCTGGAGAATCGTGATCACACTCACCTCCTTGCTCCGGATCGCTGCGCAGCCACATCGCTCCCCGCTGTCCACACGCGGGAGCGTGCTTCGCTGTTGTTGTTTTTCTCTCTCTCAGTTTGGGCATGCGCACAGGCAGCCATCTGTAGAACTAAAAATTTTCGCACGTGCGCAGAACAGCAATTTCCACTTTAACCTGACTGCTGTAACACTTCCCTTTAAACTTTAAAGGAACACTTCCCTTTAAACGTTTACCCTGAAAATGGGCTCCGTGAGATCCCGAACTCGTCCAAACGCTAAAACTAGGCACCGTTTAAACATTGTTTTTAATAACGCGGTGGCAGAGCTCCGCCTATGCGCACAATGGCAACACTTTTTTTAAAATGGCTGGACGAAAAGCGGAAGCCTCGGGCAGCTTTTGAGCGGGGAGGGGGTTTAAACCGGAAGTGTCTCGACACCGCAGGAGCAATCAGACGTCAGAAAAGTGGGGCTGGAACCGGAGAATCAGGAAAACACCACTTGGGGACCTGCTATCCAAATACCCCGGGTTAAAGCGGTTTTGAGCCAGGAAACGACGGCTGGGGACGGGAGGCAGGTGTTGACCGTGGGATCGCGCAGATAAAATCCGTTTCTTAGGTGGGCCGAAAACGTACTAAATGGTCCGTCTGACCGCACCCTCTGTATGGCTTTAGGACCAATAGGCAGTCTTTATTAGGGAGCCAATCCCAAGAGAGACAACCAGAATGCTGCAGTTTAAACATATCATAGAACAGAACATGGACCCTGAGGAGGGCGGGCTTTGGGGAGGCTAGGAACTCCAGTGGAGGACAATGCCATATCGTCCCACCCTCAAAAGCAGCCATTTTCTCCAGGGAATGATCTCTCTCACCTGGAGGTCAGTTGTAATCTGAGGAGATAGGGGTTGCCAACTCCAGGTTTGGAAATATCTAGAGATTTTGGAGGTGGAGCCTGAGGAAGGCGGGGTTTGGGGAGGGGAGGGACTTCTGTTGGGTATGTTGCCATGACGCCCACCTTCCCAAGCAGCCATTTCCTCCAGGTGAACTGATCTCTGTCACCTAAAGTTCAGTTGTAAATCCAGGAGATCTCCACCACCACCTGGAAGCTAGGGTTGCCAGGTCTGGGTTGGGAAATACGTGGGGACCTTTGGGGGTGGAGCCAGGAGAGGGCGGGGTTTGGGGAGGGGAGGGGCCTCAGCATGGCGCAATGCCATAGAGGCCACCCTTCAAAGCAGCCATTTTCTCCAGGGGAGCTGATCTCTTTCAGCTGGGGATCAGTTGCAAAAGCAGGCCCCACCTGGAGGCTGGCAGCCCTGCTGGAAGCTCTGAAGGAAGGAAGGAATACAAAAGACACAAAAGATCAAACCGTGCAAAAAAAAAAATCACGAAAAATAATATATTCAACAATTAGTGGGTGTAATAATCTAAACTTGGAAGCTGGCAACCCTAATTGGACTTTGGGGGTACACAGGGCTCTTTTTGTAGAAAAAGCCCAGCAGGAACTCATTAGCATAATAGGCCACACCCAACAGAAGGAACTCATTAGCATATTAGGCCACACCCCTGACAGCACAGCTCATTCACATATTAGGCCGCAACTCCATGTTACCAGAAGTGTGGCCATCCAGCCACATCCACCTTTTGCTTCTTATTCTGTTTACCTTGTTTGTTGTCAAGACCCAGGGCTTTTTTTGTAGCAGGAACTCCTTTGCATGTTAGGCCACACACCCCTAATGTAGCCAATCCTAATGAGTTTCTGCTGTTGGGTGTGGTCTATTATGCTAATGAGTTCCTGCTGGGCGTGGCCACCTCGGGAGCCAGCCGGAACTCCGTTCCTGTGCGTTCCTGCCCAAAAATAGCCCTGGGGGTACGAACAGGTCCTCCGGCTTACAGACCATCTCTCTGTTCCAACAGGAAACCAGACCCCGGATGTCTGAATTCTCGGTGAGATCCACGATCATTTCCCGCTACGCCTTCACCACCATCTCCTGCACCTTGGTGAACAGCGGCTCGGAGGACAGGGAAGGCGTCTTTGAGATGCAGATACCCGTCACAGCGTTCATCACTAATTTTACCATGTAGGTGAGAGGGTCTGGCATGTTGCTCGAAGAAGCTCTATAGCAGAAGCCAAATTTACCATAGAGTTGTTGCCCAAATACCAGAGTGTCTCCCCGACATCCCAGAAGTGATGATGTCACTTCTGGGTCACATGGGGAGTCTGATTCCTTTTGTGACTATCTGGTGTGGCACAGCCAGCCAGAAAACTGCCACAGGAAGTGGTGGCGGCTACAAGCATGGACGGCTTCAAGAGGGAATTAGATAATCAATGGAGCAGAGCCACAAGGTATAGATAGGGACTCTGGGACAAGTGATGCTCTGTCTTCTTGGTGCTTGGGGGGGTCAACAGTGGGAGGGCTTCTAATGTCCTGGCCCCACTGGTGGACCTCCTGATGGCACCTGGTATTTCTGGCCACTGTGTGACACAGAGTGTTGGACTGGATAGGCCTTTGGCCTGATCCAACATTGGCGTCTCTTATGTTCTTATGTATTCTATGTGGCTCTTACGTTAGGCAAGTTTGGCCACCCCTGCAACATGGTCTAGTGTTTCTGTCTACGCTGATAACCGAATAGCTGAGAAGATGGGAATATGAGCATCACAGTAAACAAATGGGTAGCTTCCTAATTCAGTTAATGTGGAAATCTACCATTATAACTTAGCTCTCCTCAGGTCAGGATGTCCACCCTGCGTCTGGACTATCCCATTCAGACTGCTGATGGAATGCCCAGTAAGTAGAGATAACTGCTGAATAAATGGCCACCACGGGAGGCACAGCCAGCTTCAGAATGGGAAGATCTTGCCTAGTCCTATTTGGCACAGTAAAAATAGCGTTGGCACGTAATACTATGTGTACAGATGCCAGCCTCCTGGTGGGACCTGGAGAGGCCCCCTCCCCCCACGAATTACAGCTCCTCTCCAGACTACAGAGATCAGTTCCCCTGGAGAAAATGGATGCTTTGATCCAATTTTAGCTATACTTATAACTCGGTTACTTATGCATCTTGACTTGGGTTGCCAGGTCTGACTCAGGAAATATCTGGGGACTGGAGGGTGAAGCCAAGAGGCTTTAGGGGTGGAGCCAGGAGCAAGGATGTGACATTACTCTGGGAGAGGGGAGGGAAGAAGCACGACTGAACTCCAAAGGGAGTTCTGGCCGTCACATTTAAAAGAACCGTGTTCCTTTTAAATGCCTTTCCTCCATTAGAAATAATGGAGGACGGGGGCACCTCCTTTTGGGGCCCATAGAACGGGATCCCCTGGTCCAATCGTTTTGCAACTTGGCGGAGTTTTTGAGGACAGGCACGAGATGATATGCTGAAAATTTGGTGCCTCTATCTAAAAAGCAGGGCCCCCCAAGCCCCAGATACCCACAGATTGATCCTCCATTATACCCTATGGGGACCAAATTCCATAGAGCATAATGGAGCACCCACTGGACATTTCCCTCCCCCCGCCAGAGGTCGATTCAGGGGGGATCGCGGGGGATCGCAGTTCCCCCGGGTGAGGTGCGGGGGCGGGGCACACGATGAAGCCCCGCCCCCTGCTTCCGGCCGCCCCGCTTCCGGCCCTCATTCAGCCAGGAGGAGGCAGGAGAAGAGGGAGGGTAAGTTGCTTCCTCCCCGCCTCTCCCCACCCCTGCCTGCCTGGGGCCAGGGAGGGCCTTGGCGGGGCTTCCTCGCACTCCCGCTGGCCTTGCAGGTCCACCGCTGGGCCCCTGATGTCAGGGGGTGTGGCATATGCTAATGAGTTATGCTAATGAGTTCCCCTAGCTCTTTTTCTACGAAACGACCCCTGACCCCCGCTATCTGATAACCCTGAGGTGGGGGGGCAGCCTCCAAACCAGGGGATCCCCTGCCTTCAACTGGGGATTGGCAACCCTAATCTTGACTGTAATTACCCCTTCCTGGCAACTAACCCCCCCCCAACAATATGTAATGGTCAAGGAAGTCTTGTTTCAATGTATCTGAAGAAGTGTGCATGCACATGGAAGCTTATACCCAGGATTTAAACTTTGTTGGTCTTAAAGACGCCACTGGACTCAAACTTTGTTCTGTTGCTTCAGACCAACACGGCGACCCACCGGTGTTCCCTCTAAGCTGAGTTAGTGTGAGCTAGCTCACAGTTTTTAAGCCTCCAGCTCACACATTTTTGTCTTCGCTCAGGAAGGAGGGCTCCAGAGCAGTGTTCCCTCTTAGCTGAGTTAGTGTGAGCTAGCTCACAGTTTTTTAGCCTCCGGCTCACACATTTTTGTCTTCGCTCAGGAAGGAGGGCTCCAGAGCAACCTGATTTATGCAGCGGCCAAATGGCTCACTCACAACTTTAATGCCAGTCGCTCACAAAGTAGAATTTTTGCACACAAGACTCCATGGCCTAGAGGGAGCATTGCTACCCACCTGTATCTATCTGTGTAGAACAGTGATACAAAGGTGCGGAGCAGTTTGACAGGTGAGATTTTGGCCTCCAAATCAGTTAATGGCAAAAGAATAAATTGCCTCTGTTTCTATACCAAGGGTGCATGACGGTCAACAGCTTACCTTGGTTCTCCCATTTCACATACTCTACTAGATTACCTTTGCTGTATTCCCCAGAGGAACCCATTAGGTCGGGAGGGAAGGTCTCATCGTGGTATAGTCAGATCTCGTCAGATCTCGGAAGCTAAGCAGGGACCGAGAGTGGAAGGGAGACCACCAGGGGCATATGAAGGCTTACGGGTGCCCTAAGCACTGACCGATCTTGGTGTCCCCCTCCTTTCCACACTGATCCAGTCCATTTTAGTTGGAATTGCAAGTTGCTTACACTTCAGTCATTACAAAGTTAAATGTTGTTTGTTAGGAAACAGGATGTTACGTTACATAATGTATTCAAGGGCCGGAAAGTTTGTGGGAGTTGTTTACCCTAATGAAGTGACCTGTAACCTTTGTATTGGTCAACTAACATCTAGTTTGTGGAAATGCTTTGATCTAGCATTCATGTATTCACAAGGTTTATGGCCCTTTGTGTGAACCAAAGAGGAAGTTCTCTTCTAGAGGCTGAGACAGAAAGATGTAGCTGTTAGCATATGTAACTGAGAGTAACTGCAAGCATGTAACCTTTTATTTTATTTCTTTTAGCCAAAGTACCATACCCATGTTTTATTTTGTTTTTATAGTAAAGATATTTTTCTTTGACTAAGTGTGTGCTCTTGTGTTTGCAATACGACTAACGACCCTGAATCAAAGAATCCCAACAATTTTAGTTGTTGACCTGTCTGACCAGATATACAATGCAGGTTGCAGCAACTGACAACTGAATTTGGCTCCATCATTTTACTTTTAAACACATGGATTTCACTTTAAAACATAGCCTATGGCACTGCGCCTCGCCGACAAAAAATAGAAGATAACCCTAGAGTGCACCATAATCAATTTGCACTAGTTATATCCCCCCCATTTTTTTTTTACAAATCTTCATTCGTGTGTTTTTTCTTTCCACCCTTTTCCCAACTTTGTGGCGCCCCCTTTGGCCCTGGTGCCCTAAGCACATGCTTAGTTTGTTTAATGGTTAATCCGCCCCCAGAGACCCCCAAGGAAGGCTTTGCAAAGGAAGGCCATGCCCCCTGATTCTCATCACCAGAGGTCATTTCGGGGGGAATCGCGGGGGATCGCAGTTCCCCCGAGTGAGGTACGGGGGGCGGGGCACATGATGAAGCCCCACCCCCTGCTTCCGGCCGCCCCGCTTCCAGCCCTCATTCAGCCAGGAGGAGGCAGGAGAAGAGGGAGGGTAAGTTGCTTCCTCCCTGCCTCTCCCCACCCCTGCCTGCCTGGGGCCAGGGAGGGCCTTTGCGGGGCTTCCTTGCACTCCCGCCGACCTTGCAGGTCCACCGCCGGGCCCCTCATGGGGCTCGGCAGTGGAGCTACAAGGCCGGCGGTGGCGGCCGGGACTGTTGGGGGCGGGGTGTGTGGCCTTATGACACACTTCTGGTGATGTCAGGGGGTGTGGCCTTATGACACACTTCCGGTGATGTCAGGGGGTGTGACATATGCTAATGAATTATGCTAATGAGTTCTCTTAGCTTTTTCTACGAAACGACCCCTGCTCATCACCATAACCTAGTTGTGATATGACAGCAGCACATGCGTATCTGATCCACCTCACTCTTTTCCTTCCTTCTCCATCTCTTTCGTGGCTCCAGGTTCATCGGTGACAAAGCTTACCATGGGGAAGTTATTGGGAAAGACAGAAGGCTCGGGGATGCCACGCGACGCCACAGATACTCCAGGCCCAGAGGCGATGGGTAGGTATGGTCTTCTGGTTCGTCAGATGATCTGTCTTGCAGTTCCTTTGGAGTTCTGGGGCGCAGTGTCCAACACAGATAACCTCAATACCGTGACACATACAAAGCCATGTTGGGTAGTATGGAGCAGAGGTCCATCAGCGGTTATTAGCCACAGGCAGGGGTCATTTCCTGCCGGAGCGCACAGGAGCGGAGCTCCGGCAGTAAGGAGCCCAGGGGGTGGGCACATGCAACAAGCCCCACCCCCTGCTCCCAGCAGCCCTCAGTTGGGCCACGAGGAGCAAGAAGCAGCCAGGTAAGTTGCAGAGCCCGTTCCCCGGCCCGCCTTCAGGTACAAGCTCTCCCTCCTCTGTGAGGACAGATCTACACGTTCCCCCCCAATCCAAAACAGTCCAGTGGAGCCTGAGCGGTGGGTGTTGCCTTTTGACACACTTCTGGTGATGTCAGGGGGGTGTGGCATATGCAAATAAGTTATGCTAATGAGCTCCTGCACCTCTTTTTCTACGAAATGACCCCTGGCCACAGGGTATAGATGGAACACTTTCTCTGGGTCAGTGATGCTCTGTATTCTTGGTGCTTGGGGGGACAACAGTGGGAGGGCTTCTGGAGTTCTGGCCCCGCTGGTGGACCTCCTGATGGCACCTGGGTTTTGGCCACTGTGGGACACAGAGTGTTGGGCTGGATGGGCCTGATCCAACATGGCTTCTCTTGTGTTCTTATGCCTGGGGCAGTGATGCTTTGTGTTCTTGGTGCTTGGGGGGCCAACAGTGGGAGGGCTTCTGGAGTTCTGGCCCCGCTGGTGGACCTCCTGATGGCACCTGGGTTTTGGCCACTGTGGGACACAGAGTGTTGGGCTGGATGGGCCATTGGCCTGATGTAACATGGCTTCTCTCATGTTATTATGTCTGGGGCAGTGATGCTCTGTCTTCTTGGTGCTTGGGGGGCAAGAGTGGGAGGGCTTCTGAAGAAGAAGAAGAGAAGAAGAGATTGGATTTATACCCCGCCCTTCACTCGGAGTCTCAGAGCGGTGTACAAACTGTTTTCCCTTCCTCTCCCCACAACAGACACCCTGTGAGGTAGGTGGGGCTGAGAGAGCTCTGAGAGAACTGCCCTTACAAGGACAGCTCTTACCAGAACTATGGCTTGCCCAAGGTCATCCAGCAAGTGCAAGTGGAGGAGTGGGGAATCAAACCCGGTTCTCCCAGATTAGAGTCCGCGCACTGAACCACTACACCAAACTGGCTCTGGCCCTGTTGGTGGACCTCCTGAGATCACCTGGGTTTTGGCCCCTGTGTGACACAGAGTGTTGGACTAGCCATTGGCCTGATCCAACATGGCTTCTCTCATGTTCTTATGTCTGGGGTAGTTATCCTCTGTATTCTTGGTGCTTGGGGGGGAAGAGTGGGGGGGCTTCTGGAGCTCTGGCCCTGCTGGTGGCCCTCCTGAGAGCACCTGGGTTTTGGCCACTGTGTGACACAGAGTGTTGGGCTGGATGAGCCATTGGCCTGATCCAACACGGCTTCTCTCATGTTCTTAGTATACAGATCACCACGTCTATCCTTGTATCCGTGCATTGTCTTCTCAAAGTTTTTCGAAGTTTGCCAACTTCGGGTTGGAAATTTCTGGAGATTTGTGGTGGAGCCCTGGGAAGGCAGGGCCAGGGCTCCCAAGTACTTACCTTAATTCGCCCGGGGATGTATAGTTCTTTGCGGGACCATTCCCACGGGGAAAACACAGGCGCTGCACTATTCCGTTGCCCAGACGTGACGTAGGCACGTAGCCGGGCGACGCTCTAGCAATGGGGCTGGAAACTCGATGGTACCATCGAGTTTCCAGTCCCATTTCCAGAGCGTCGCCCAGCTATGTGCCTACGTCACGTCTGGGCGATGGAATAGTGCAGCGCCTGTGTTCCAAGCAAGAATCTTCTGGCAGGGAAGCATGTGTCCCCCGCCGGATTGTAGGTAGGTACTTGGGAACCCTAGGCAGGGATTGGTGAGGGAAAGGATTACAGTGGGATAAAACACCATGGAGTCTAACCTCCAAAGCAGCCCCTTTCTCCAGAGGAACTGATCTCTGTCGTCTGGAGATCAGTTGTAATTCCGGGAGATCTCCAGGCTCCACCTGGAGGATGGCAACACTACAGCGTGTTGGCTGCACTTACTGGAATGAGCTTCCGGATGAGATCAGGGCCCTGCGGGACCCCTCACAGTTCCACGGGGCCGTGAAAAGGGAGCTCTTCCATCAGGCATTTAGGTAAGGAGCTGCACGTCACCATCTATGCCCTGTGCACATTTTACTGGCGGCCTGAGCCGAGAGTGGATGTACCACTGATCAGGGGTCATTTCATAGAAAAAGAGGTGCAGGAGTTCATTAGCATAACTCATTAGCATAACTCATTTGCATATGCCACACCCCCTGATGTCACCGGAAGTGTGTCAGAAGGCAACACCCACTGCTCAGGCTCCACTGGACTGTTTTGGATTGCTAGCTATTGGGGGGGGGGAATGTGCAGATCTGTCCTCGCAGAGGAGGGAGAGCTTGTACCTGAATAAGACTTGGTCTTAAAGGTGCCTCGGGACTGTTTTGGACCGGGGGGCGGGCGGGGGGAGCTCTGCAACTTACCTGGCAGCTTCTTGCTCTGACTGAGGGCTGCTGGGAGCAGGGGGTGGGGCTTGTTGCATGTACCCGCCCCCTGGGCTCTTTACTGCCAGAGCTCCGCTCCTGTGCGCTCCTGCAGGAAATGACCCCTGCTGCTGATCGTATGTTCCTAAATGCACTTTACCATACCCACGTCGCCGTCAATATGCTAATGCTTTTAATAACTTTACCATGTATTTTATACTGATACTGATATTATTGTTTTATCTGTTGGTTCCTTACGTAAGCCGCCCTGAGCCTGCCTTGGCAGGGAGGGCGGGGTAAAAATAAATACCAACGGTTGAGCTGGACTAGGTCTCAGAAGACCTGAGTTCCAATCACCACCCACCAATGAAATCCGCTGGGTGATCTTGGGCCCGCCAGTCTCCCTCAGCCTGACCTACCTCCCAGGGTCGTTGTGAGGACAGAATGAAAGAAGGACATGTTCGCTGCTCAGAGCTCCTTCTCGGAAAGATGGGATAGAAATTGTCAGGGCTCTTTTTGTAGAAAAAGCCCAGCAGGAACTCATTAGCATAATAGACCACACCCAACAGCAGAAACCCATTAGCATATTAGGCCACACCGATAACTTTACAGCTCATTAGCATATTTGGCCGCACCCCCATGTTGCCAGAAGTGTGGTCATCCAGCCACACCAACCTTTTGCTTCTTATTCTGTTTACCTTGTTTGTTGTCAAAACCCAGGGCCTTTTGCATTTTAGACCACACACCCCTAATTGTAGCCAATCCTAATGAGTTTCTGCTGTTGGGTGTGGCCTATTATGCTAATGAGTTCCTGCTGGGTGTGGCCAACTCAGGAGCGAGCCGGAACTCCGTTCCTGTGCGTTCCTGCCCAAAAATAGCCCTGGAAATTGTAATCCCTGCCACGGCAACGGAATTATCCCTCACTGACCCTCACTGCTGGTGTAACAAGGGGGATGAATTATACCCTTTGAATTCCCCTGGCAGGGAAGATGGAGTCGAGACATTCAAGGCTTCTGGAACCATTCCCAGAAAAGGCCAGGCTCTTTTCCTACTTCACTACGAAGAGCTCCTGCAAAGACGGCTGGGAAAGTACCAGTATGCCCTCAGCATACGGCCCCAGCAGCTAGTGGGGCGCCTCCGGGTGGAGGTGAATATCCTCGAAAACTCGGGAATTACCTCCCTGGAAGTCCCGCCCCTCCGGAGCAACCGGAGCAGAGGCGGGGGGAATGGCGACGAAGGTGAGTAGGACAATGGGTCTGTTTTGTTTTGTTTTGACTTCTTCATTTATATCCCACTTTGGTGTGTCAGCCAGTTTGGTGTAGTGGTGAAGTGCCTGGACTCTATCTGGGAGAACCGGGTTTGACTCCCCCACTCCTCCACTTGCACCTGGCTGGATGACCTTGGGCAAGCCATAGTTCTGATAAGATCTGTCCTTGAAAAAAAGCCTTTTCTGTCAGAGCTCTCTCAGCCCCACCTACCTCCCAGGGTGTCTGTTGTGGGGAGGGGAAGGGAAAGGAGTTTGTCAGCCGCTCTGAGACTCCTTCGGGTAGTGAAGGGCGGGGTATAAATCCAACCTCTTCTCTTCTCTTCATCTGGTGTGACCTTGGGTCAGTGACAAGTTCTTTTGCAGCTGTTCTCTCATGAGCAGTCATCAAGAGAGCTCTCTCAGCCCCACCTCCCTCACAGGGTGTCTGTTGTGGGGAGGGGGAGGGATTGTAAGCTGCTCTGGGACTCCTTCAGGTAGTGAAGGGCGGGATATAAATCCAATCTCCTCCTCCTCCTCTTTTTCTCCTCCTTCTTTTCGTCAATGGGGACCCAAAGTTCATCACGTTGTTCTCTCCTCCATTTTCCCCTCACAATGACTCTGTGAGGTAGGTTAGGCCAAGAGTGTGTGACTGGCCCAGTGTCCCCGTGAGCTTCCAGGGGTGAATGAGGATTCAAACCCAGGTCTCTCTGATCATAGTCCAACACTCTGACCACACACCGCCACACTGGATAGAGCCAACAAGTGGAGACCTGCAAGAAACTTGTGGGATGGTTATCCTATTCCTCGCACCTTTGCTTCCTCCTGTCTCCCTCTACCTCTCTCACATTCTTTCTCCCTTCTGCCCCCCCTTTCTTTCTCTTTCTCTCTCCTCCATGTATGGTTTGGAGAGTGAAGTCTATGGCATTATACTGATCTCTAGTTCCTCCCCTCCTCAAATCCCACCCTCCCCAGGCTCCACCCCACAAATGTCCAGGAATTTCCCAACCTGGAGTTGGCAACACAATTTCCTTCCCACCCAACAGCCAACCTACCTTTATCTGCCTCTCTGTCTTCAGTTTTCCATATCCCCACCCCTCCCCACAGCCTCTATCTAGGAAAATTACAGTCTTTCTCCACAGTGGGGACCAAAGCAGCTTACATTATTCTCCCCTCCTTTTTATCTGCACAACAACCCTGTGAGGTTGGCTAGGCCAAAAGTATGTGACTGGTCCAAAATCACCCAGTCAGCTTCCACCGCAAGATGGGGATCTGAACCTGGGTCTCGCAGACCCTAATCTGAAGCACTAACTGATGCACCGCACCGGCTTTCATAGGGTGGCTGCTGATGAATGTTAGCCAGATCCGACAAGCCCAAGCTAGAAGAACCAGCAGTGTGGCTCAGTATAAAGCAGCTTCATTTCTACATTCTCTCCCTATCTCTCTGCCTGTCCTACCTTCAAGGGTTCTTGTGAGGGTTAAATTAGGAAGAGGAGGGATACATGCTACATGTTGCTTACTGTAAGTTAAATATGAGCAGCCAGTGTGATGCAGCGACAAAAAAGGCTAATGCGATCTTGGGGTCTAACAACAGAGGCATAACATCCAGATTGCAAGATGTGATTGTCCCGCTGTACACTGCATTGGTCAGGCCGCACCTGGAGTCTTGTGTGCAGTTCTGGAGGCCTCACTTCCAAAAGGATATGGACGGAACGGAGCGGGTGCAGGGGAGAGCGATGAGGATGATCGGGGGGGGGGGCCTGGGGACCAAGCGGGGGAGAGGGGGAGGGTGGGGGGGGGGGGGGGGGCCTGGAGACCAAGCCCTGCAAGGACAGGCTGAGGGACTTGGGAATGTTCAATCTGGAGAAGAGGAGGCTGAGGGGGGTCAGGATCGCTCTCTTGAAGTATCTGAAGGGCTGTCGCTTAGAGGAGGGCAGGGAGCTGTTCCCGTTGGCAGCAGAGGAGAGGACTCGCAATAATGGGTTTGAATTAAGGGCAGGAAGGTCCCGGCTGGATCTTAAGAAAAACGTTTTGACAGTCAAGAGTTGTGGAACAGTGGAATTGGCTGCCTAGGGAGGTGGTCGGCTCCCCCTCCCTGGCAGCCTTTCAAGCAGTGTCTGGACAAACACTTGTCGGGGATGCTCTGGGCTGATCCCGCACTGAGCAGAGGGTTGGACTAGATGGCCTCTATGGCCCCTTCCGACTCTGTGATTCTAGGATTCTTTAGCGGTTGGCTAAAAATACAAGAAAAACGTCCTAGCCTCTGTGAATCATTCTTCCCTGACTCCTGCTCCCCTCTCGAGAAGTTGTATATTTTAAGCAAAACGGGTTTTTTCCATCCCTCCGTCGGTGCCAAATCGCAGAGGAAGTCCTGTTGTGTTGCGGCGATGGAAAAGCCTCCGCTTGCCAAACGGGGTAGCCAGCAGGCCACGTGCAGGCCTCCTCCGCTCCTCCCGTGCTCCCGTTTGTGATCCTCCCCTTCTGTGTTGGCAACGGTGCCACACAGGATGGGACGCTGTCCTTTTGCCAGGGGGGGAAGATCAGCCATCGACACCCCTGTCTGGTTAGATGACCCGAGGAAGAGCCGGGGAATGTGAGCCAGAGTTCAGATTTCAAGATCTCTGCCCTTGCGAAAGCAGCGGAGAAGGTCTGTTGCAAGGAGTAATATGGAGCCTGACGGTCTGTCCCAAGATATAAATTCTGGAAGCTTAGGGGAGGGGTTGTGGATCGGTGGCAGAGCATCTGCTGTGCGTGCAGAAGGTGTAGTGTATTCCAAAGCCGCCATGGAATGCATGATGTATGTGAAACATCTCATTAACTTGTAATGTTAAGCTTCATCCTGGGCTAGGATCCAAATACATCCAATGGTATTGCTAGCCCAGGAAGTAACAAGCCAATCACTTTGCAGCAAGCTCCCTGAGCGGGAACGGCTGTGATTGGTCCTTATATGAACAGCCTTATTGGTTGGTATGTGTACAGTGGGCATGGCTACATTAGCCGGGAATGTTTAAAAGCAGGGCAACTGCAATGTAAAACCTGAACCGTGTTGTTCTGGCTATCAGATGTTGATCCGTGTTGGAGTTGTGTTCGAGTTGAAGAATAAAGCTGTGTTCTTGCTGAATCACTCTCCGACTGCTTTGTTGGCATCTCCAGTGAAAAGGACCAGTTGGTAGGGGACGTGAAAGAAGAAGAAGAGATTGGATTTATACCCCGCCCTTCACTACCCAAAGGCGTCTCAGAGAGGCTTAAAATCTCCTTTCCTTTCCCCTCCCCACAACAGACCCCCTGTGAGGTAGGTGGGGCGGAGAGAGTCCTTTTGAGGACTGCCCTTGAGAGAACAGCTCTGAGAGAACTTGTGACTGACCCAAGGTCACACCAGCAGCTGCATGTGAAGGGGTGGGGAATCAAACCCGGTTGAGCCATATTTGAGGGGAACTGCTTTTTTCTGTTTTTTTTCCTGAGACTCAGTTTGGTGTAGTGCTTAAGTGCGCGGACTCTAACCTGGGAGAACCGGGTTTAATTCCCCACTCCCCCACATGCAGCCAGCTAGGTGACCTTGGGTCAGTTACAAGTCTCCGTCTCCTCCTCCTCTTCTCCACCTTGCTAGGTTTTTATACATGCCGGGCGTATGCAATCGCACCCAGGCGTCCTCTGATAAATTTGCTCCAGTTTTATATACTAAAAGGGAAAGATAAGGGGGGGGAGGTTTAACATGGAGGAACGCGGGCAGCTGAAAAGGGACAGCTCAAATTTTATCCTGCACGTCAAATTCAGAAGCAGATCTTCCTACGTGCAGACCAGCTGTTTGTTTTCCCCGAGCAGGAAAGAGAAATTTGGAAAACCCTTTTCTGAGCCAGGCAGGTGTTGGGGGCTTTTTGGCTGCTACCTACGGCGTGGTGGGCAGGAAACTGAAGTCAGGAAGTCTTGCCCTTTTTGATGACCTCATAGTCAGGCCACTCTCCAAAGGACATGAAAAGGCAGAATTCCCCTGGTCTCCCGCCATGGAATATCCTTTTCCTCTGTACTCTGCATACGGCGGCCATTCGCTTCCCATTTAGACCCGGGTTTCGACAGGGTTGTTAATTATCCTCCTTGGCTTGAGGCCTGATCAGGAAATTCCCTGTGGGTGGCTGCCCCGGAGGGTCACTAACAGGTAGGTTTGCTAGACCACCGGCATGGGACGAGGAGGGCAAGGTTGCCACCTTCTGTTCTTGTTAGATCGCCGCTAACAAAGAACCGGGGAGTGATTTCAACAAAAGTGATCAGCTTTATTGTAGGTACGAACAAGCGCTTGAAAGAAGTCATAACCAGAACAACTTAACGTTGGGAGCTAGGCTCCTTTTAAACATTCCCGGGCGAACGTAGCCACGCCTATTTACAATAATCAACCAATGAGGTTGTGCGGATAACGTCCAATGAAAGTCCTTCCCTTGCAGGGAATTGGTATTGTTCTGATTGGTCGCTCCCAAGATTGTGGAGCGACCAATAGCAAGTTGGCTCGGAGGAGCCTTCCTCTGGCTCGAGCTTATCGTGGAGAGTCAATGCGGCGATTCATGTAAGTCTTTCCGAATACATCACAGTTCTGGTCACCACACCTTAAAAAGGATATTATAGCATTGGAAAAAGTGCAGAAAGGGGCAACTAGAATGATCAAAGCGTTGGGACACTTTCCCTATGAAGAAAGGTTAAAGCGCTTGGGGCTCTTTAGCTTGGAGAAACGACGGCTGAGGGGTGACACGATCGAGGTTTACAAGATGATGCATGGGATAGAGCAGGTTGAGAAAGAGGTAGTTTTCTCCCTTTCTCACAAGACAAGAACTCTTGGGCACTCCATGAAATTGCTGAGCAGTCGGGTTAGAACAGATACAAGGAAGTACTTTTTCACCACAGGAGGTGGTGGTGGCTACAGGCATGGAGGGCTTCAAGAAGGAGCTGGATAAACATAAGGAGCAGAGGTCCATCAGTGGCTATTAGCCACAACGTATAGGTAGGAACTCACAGGCTGGGGCAGGTGATGCTCTGTATTCTTGGTGCTTGGGGGGGGGCAACAGTGGGAGGGCTTCTAATGTCCTGGCCCCACTGGTGGACCTCCTGATGGCACCTGGTATTTCTGGCCACTGTGTGACAGAGTGTCAGACTAGATGGGCCGTTGGCCTGATCCAGGGCTTTTTTTGTAGAAAAAGCCTAGCAGGAACTCATTAGCATAATAGGCCATACCCAACAGCAGGAACTCATTAGCATATTAGGCCACACCCCTGACACCCCCATGTTACCAGAAGTGTGGTCATCCAACCACACCCACCTTTTGCTTCTTATTCTCTTTATCTTGTTTGTTGTCAAAACCCAGGGCTTTTTGTTTGGAGCAGGAACTCCTTTGCATGTTAGGCAACACCCCCTAATTGTGGCCAATCCTAATGAGTTTCTGCTGTTGGGTGTGGCCTATTATGCTAATGAGTTCCTGCTGGGTGTGGCCAACTTGGGAGCCAGCTGGAACTCCGTCCCTGTGCGTTCCTGCCCAAAAATAGCCCTGGCTTGATCCAACATTGGCGTCTCTTATGTTCTTATGATGGGAATGTTCTAGAGATTTGGGGGAGGAGTCTGAGGAGGACAGGGACCTCAGTGGGGTACCATGCCATAGAGTCAAGCCCGTTGCCAGAATTTTTTTTTAAATTTGGAGGAGCCTTTAAATAAGTTGGTCACCCCCACCCCAAGCAAGTGTCATTAATACAATTTTAAAAAATGGAAGTTGTGGGGCCTTGGTGGTAAGTCAGGAGGCCAGATCAGACCACCTTTCAATGGCCGAATCTGCATTCGCATTTTTAAATCAGTTTCGTGCTGCTGCGAGGCCGTCTTTCTCTAGGCTCGTTTGAACGTTGTTTGGAGAAGATTCGTTTAAAGCAGTGCGGGGGCGCAGTGATAGCGGAGCCGCCACGAGAGGGCGACAGACATATGCAGACATGCGAAAGTATGCCAGCACTGTTGAGGTGTGGAAACGAAAGCAAATGTAGACAGCTTTTTTTGAAGACAGAGTCGGAAGGCTGGGACACCAGTGGGAAAGACAAATGCAGATTCGACCAATGTCTGTTATTCTTTCTGTCACGATTATCTTAGCCTGGTCCCAGTTCAGAGCCAAAAGGGCTTGAGGGGAAAGACCGAGAAGATGCAGCTTGTTATGAACAGCTTTCAGCCAATTTGACTGGAAGCGGTCTGTGAGTACCATGTGAATTAGGTCCTGAGGGTGAAAATGGACTCTAAGCCAATACCTAAGTGAGGCCAGAGTAAGTTTGGCTACAATCATCATCATGCCAGTTTCTAAACGGATAAAGGCATTAGGCACCCCCCTGGGGACCTGAAGGACTTTACATTTTATGCAATATCTATTTGTTGTTACTTTATTTTAATGTATTTTTATATATCCTTTGTATTTATTCTAGCTGTTTTATTGTGTAGTCAGTATGTTTTCTAACGTTAGTGTGATTTTGTTGATTTACTGGCTTGATGCCGTAATAAACAATACAATACAGACTTCAGTCAGGGGGCCAGGTCCCGAGGGGCCCCACTGTAGCTACGGGCCCGCATAGAGTGCACCCTCCAAAGCAGCTATTTTCTCCAGGGAACATGTGAGGCATGGCCAAGTGACGGCATCTTTCTCCCTCAGTTGACGGAGCCCCGCCCCCTTCGACGGTGATTGGCCAGACGAAAACTCTGGCCAAAGTCACCTTCAGTCCCAGCGTGGTCCAGCAAGCCAAGATTGCACGGAACGGCATTCTGGGAGATTTTATCGTCCGGTACGATGTCAACAGGGAGCTGAGTGTCGGGGACGTGCAGGTAGGGTGTGAATCGGCCCTCCCCTTATGGCACTGTGAAATACATCATACGGGTTGCTGAAGACAAATGCGAACCCACCCACTGCATACTCCACCAGGTGAATGACACCTTGTCATGATCTGTGTAGGATTGGGAGACAGGGCCTGGTGCGGCCTAGGCCCAGGAGAGACCTGTGTGGGAGTGGGAAGCAGACAGCCTACAATCCCCACAATGCTTAGCGACGGTTGTAGCCAATCTGTGTCCAGGGATTCTGTGAGGGGATGGTGACTTAAGCTTGGTGAGCCTTGGATAGTAACCCGTTAAGTGAAATAGGTAGTCACGTTAGATTTGATTGATTTTGCCTTGAGACGCTGATATATATTTTAAGCACCTTGTCTTGTTTTCAATGCCCCATTACTGTATTCATAAACCATTTGTTTTATGTTCCCTGCCTGGTCATCACGCCTATGTTTCTCGGCTTAAAAGGGGCATTTTGTTTGGGCTTGGGAGGGTACTCTGGGTCTTCCCAAGGGGACCCAAAGTCCAGAGTGGTGGTAGATGGAGGTGGCAACCCCCTGGGGGTCATGGCAGACCTTTACAGACTTGGGAATGCGGAATGAACAGGTGAAGAGGATTCTTGTGAAGAAGGGCATTACCGAGGCTTTTAGAATTGTGTGTTGGCTCGTATGGGACACAGCAGGGGGACCAAACAGTGGCTTGTGAGTCACAGATACGGATATGAAGCGCTTCTTGTGTGTCTTTGGGGAAACTCAAGAAACAGGCATTCAAATCATGGTCACTGGCTCCTGCTAATCCCATAAGAGAAGGACTGGCAGTCAACAGAGTAGTATTCCATATACACATTCTTGATTTATCTGGCCATTCATTCAAGGAACGGAGACTGAACATCATAGTCCTGTTTCATGAGCTATTAACATAGCAAAAGATCCTGTGTGTATGGCAGCCCGTGTGTACGGGCAGGAGCGGAAGCAAGCAGATTTCTAGCAACCACAGTGGACCAGATGGCTTCATTGACCAGCCTTAAAAATGCACTGCAGTATGTCAGACTGGGGAGCTGCGGTGGCTCAAGTGGTTAAGATGCTGAACTGCAGGCTGTGGAAGGTCGGTAGTTCAGCAGTTCGAGACCCGGGTGCCGCATGACGGAGTGAGCTCCCATCTATAGTTCCAGCTCCTGCCAACCTAGCAGTTCGAAAGCAAGAAATTGCAAGTAGATAAATAGGTACCACTTTGGTGGGAAGGTAACAGCATTCCGTGCGCCTTGGTGTTTAGTCATGCCGGCCACATGACCACGGAAACGTCTTCGGACAGCGCTGGCTCTTCGGCTTGGAAACGGAGATGAGCACCGCAACCCTAGAGTCGGATTCGACTTGCTTTCGAGCGAGGGAATCTTTACTTTTAACTTTTTATGCCTGAGATTTATTTCATAAGACATGTTCTACACATTTGCTCAAAGCTCTTTATGAAGTTTCCTTATGCTATAATATTGTATTTAACTTGAATAGAATTATCAGACAAATAAGCTCGCATAATTGTTAGAACAACTGCTTTTCCACGGTGTATTTTGTTTTCTTGGGGAAGGCTAAAATCCTGGTCATGTGCCAAGGGATGCATTCGGCTACTGATTCGTCTCCCTCCTCACCTCCACCAGGTCCTGAATGGATACTTCGTGCACTATTTTGCTCCCAAAGATCTCCCACCACTCCCGAAGAACGTTGTGTTTGTGCTGGACAGCAGTGCCTCCATGGTGGGGACCAAACTACGACAGGTGAGGACCTCCCTTCGGAGTACCCAGTGGTGTGCAGGGCCAAATGGACAGCTGGGCATTCTGGGAAACTATTTTGTCATTCCCTGGGTATACAGACGAGGATATGGCCAGTGACAGTTCACGGATGGAATGGACCGGGCAGTAGGTGACATGCAAGACTGAGGATCTGGAGATTGGCTTCTAGACTGAGTAGACAATACTGTCCTAGAGGAACCAAGGGTCTGATTCAGTACAAGGCAGCTTTATGTGAGAATCCCATTCAGATGAGGGGTCAGCGGCTCCGTGGCAGAGCATCAGTGTGACCAGGGCTCTTTTTGTAGAAAAAGCCCAGCAGGAACTCATTAGCATATTAGGCCACACCCATGACAGCACAGCTCATTAGCATATTAGGCCACACACCCCATGTTACCAGAAGTGTGGTCATCCAGCCACACCCAACTTTTGGTTCTTATTCTGTTTACCTTGTTTGTTGTCAAAACCCAGGGCTTTTTTTGTAGCAGGAACTCCTTTGCATGTTAGGCCACACACCCCTAATGTAGCCAATCCTAATGTGTTTCTGCTGTTGGGTGTGGCCTATTATGCTAATGAGTTCCTGCTGGGCGTGGCCAGCTTGGGAGCTAGCCGGAACTCCGTTCCTGTGCGTTCCTGCCCAAAAATAGCCCTGGGTGTGACATGCAGAAGGTCCCAGGTTCAGTCCCTGGCATCTCCAGGTAAAAAGGACCAGGCAGTAGGTGATGTGAAAGACCTCCGCCTGAGACTCTGGGGAGCCACTACCAGCCTGAGTAGACAATATTGACCTCGATGGACCAACTGACCTGATTCAGTAGAAGCCAGCTCCATGTGTGTCCATGTATGCATACTTTGTCTACTTCAGGACTTCCTGACATGGCCACAATATCCTTTGTCATATTTATGGGGGGGGAGGCCATGGCTTGGGTATAGAGTACCTGATATGCAGCAGGTCTCAGGTTCAGTCCCCAGCATCTTCAGCTAGCAAGGACCAGGCAGGAGGTGATATGGAAAGACCTCTGCCTGAGACCCTGGAGAGCCGCTGCCAGTCTGAGTAGACAATAATAATAATAATAATCAGGGGTCATTTCGTAGAAAAAGAGCTAGGGGAACTCATTAGCATAACTCATTAGCATATGCCACACACCCTGACAGCAGGGGCCCGGCGGTGGACCTGCAAGGCCGGCGGGAGTGTGAGGAAGCCCCACCAAGGCCCTCCCTGGCCCCAGGCAGGCAGGGGTGGGGAGAGGCGGTGAGGAAGCAACTTACCCTCCCTCTTCTCCTGCCTCCTCCTGGCTGAATGAGGGCTGGAAGCGGGGCGGTCGGAAGTGGGGGGCAGGGCTTCATCGTGTGCCCTGCCCCCCCGCACCTCACCCGGGGGAACTGCCTTCCCCCCCGAAATGACCTCTGATAATAATAATACTTTCCATTTATTAATTGCTTTCCCCAGTGGGCTCAAAGCGATGTACAGTTACTCAATATAGACAAGGGGCTAACAATGTTCGTAGGGGATAGGGAAGACAACATATATTCATTTTTTAATTGCACGCACCATCACTGCCCGGTATAGACGTCTTCTGGCTTGGCTCCGTCGTTTTCCGCACGGCTGCGTGTTGGCCAGGCTTCAGGACCCGTATGTCAATTGCCACACTGCCACCGCCTGGCCGGAACATCCATTGCAGGGATTCTTTCGTAGCCGAGAAGCCATTTCGCCTTCCAAGCCTCGATCAGGACGTCCGACCGTCAGCTAACACCCTCCCACAAGGGAGATTGGCGTGCCCACCCTCTCTAAGGAGTGGTTCCCATTTTATCTACTCGCCGAAGCTTTCAAATCGCTGGGTGGACGATGAGCTGGGGACAACAGGCTGGCTGCTCACACCAGCGCGAGGCTTGAAATAACACAGTTCAGATGTTAAGACAGTGGGATATACCCACTGTGCCACCGCTCCCCTCTGACCTTGAAGGACCGAGGGTCTGATTCAGTAGAAAGCAGCTACTCGTGAGAATCCCATTCATGACAGAGGTCATGGCTCAGTGGTAGAGCATGAGTCCCCAGCATCACTTTATGCTTACCAACACTGAACTTCATTTGCCACCTTGTCGCCCACTCACCCAGTTTGGTGCAGTGATGAAATGCGCGGACTCTAATCTGGGAGAACCAGGTTTGATTCCCCACCTCCTCCACTTGCAGCTGCCGGATGACCTTGGGCAAGCCATAGTTCTGTCAGCTGTTCTGGAAGGATCTCTCTCAGCCCCGCCTACCTCACAGGCAATGCTCCCTCTCAGCTGAGGATTGTGAGCAAAAATTCTACTTTGTGAGTTACTGGCATTAATGTTGTGAGCGAGTGATTTGGCTGCTGTATAAATTAGTCTGCTCTGGAGCCACATCCTTCCTGAGCTAAGACAAAACGGTGTGAGCCGGAGGCTAAAAAAACTGTGAGTTAGCTAACACTGACTCAACTTAGCGGGAACATTGCTCACAGGGTATCTATTGTGGGGAGGGGAAGGGAAAGGAGTCTGTAAGCCACTTTGAGATGCCAAGTGAAGGGCAGGGTATAAATCCAATCTCCTCCTCCTCCTCTTCTTCTTCTTCTTCCTCCTCCTCTTCCTCCTCTTCCTCCTCCTCCTCCTCTTCTTCTCCTCATCTTCCTCCTCCTCCTCCTCTTCCTCCTCCTCCTCTTCTTCTTCTCTCGGAGCTCTTCACAGTCAGTCTTGATTTTCACCATCTTGAATAACTTGGCGTCATCTGCAAACTTGGCCGCTCTTACCCCTCGTTCCAGGTCATTTACGAACGGAGTAAATAGCGCTTTACTTGCCCCGAGACGGATCCTTGTGGGACCCCACTGCCGACTTCCCCTCCACTGAGAGAACTGTCTGTCGATTCCTACTCTTTGCTCCCCTGTCATTTAACCGGTTTTTAATCCGTAAGAGAACCCGTCCTGTGCTTCACGGGGAACTGACCCTGTCAAGACCACGTCCTCATTAGTTGCGGCCCGATGCAAAGCCCCGTCTTGCCGAGAAGGCCGAGGAAAGCAACCCAGAGCGAGCAAACAGCCGCTCGAAAGTGGGATTAAGTCTCTCTCCTGCCAGGAACTGGTGTGAGCAGGCCAGCGGAGAGCAGTTGATGGATTAACCTTTCCAGCAGTTTTACTTTCCCCCTGATGAAGCGTGGATTAGGAGGTATTAACATTTTTTGATTCAGGCCCCCGCTGTTTGAAACAGCCAGGGGTTAACCCTTGGAGACAGGCGAGGCCGTGATCCAGCACAGAGTGAAACTTGCTGAAACCCCATTGATTTCGGCGGGATTGCGCCGCGATTGGCCCAAGGCTTCCCACGAAGTTTCGTGGCAAGCAGGGATTTGAACCTGTGACTCCCTGGTCCGATTCTGACCCCACCACACCACACTGACTCTGTCACGTTGCTGTCCCACCAGATCCAGGGGGTGAATGGGAAGGGGCATGGATAAGAATGTGAAAAGAGCCGTGCGGGATCAGACCAATAGTCCATTTAGTCCAGCATCCTGTCTCACACAGTGGCTAGCCGGTTCCCCTGGAGGGCCAACAACAGGGCACGGAGGCCGAGGACTTCATAAGAGTATCAGAAGAGCCCTACTGGATCAGACAAGGGGTCCATCTAGTCCAGCATCCTCTCCCACACAGTAGCCAACCAGTTCCTTTGGAGGGCCAACAACAGGGCACAGAGGCCGAGACCTTCATAAGAACATCAGAAGAGCCCTATTGGATCAGACCAGTGTTCCATCTGGTCCAGCATCCTGTGTCACACAGTGGCCTGTCAGTTCCTTTGGAGGACCAACAACAGGGCACAGAGGCCGAGGCCTTCATAATAACAACAGAAGAGCCCTACCGTATCAGACCAGTGGTCCACCTAGTCCAGCATCCTGTCTCACACAGTGGCCAATCAGTTCCTTTGGAGGGCCAACAACAGGTCATAGAGGCCGAGGCCTTCCCCTCATGTTGCCTCCTGGCTCTGGGATTCAACGGTTGACTACCTCTGAATGTGGAGGTTCCCCTCAATCACCATGGCTAGTAGCCACTGATAGACTCATCCTCCGTGAATCTAATCCCCTTTTTAAGATGTTTATTCCTGTGGCCATCACAACATCCTCTGGCAGCAAATTCCACATTTTAATCACTCTCTGTGTAAAGCAGTAGTTCCTTTTGTCCGTCCTGAACAATGGGGGGGGCATCTGTCTGTACCCACAGAGCGGTTATGTAATAGTCACCCGACCGGCAGAAGGGAAGCCGTCATTAGAATCTGAGTGGGAAAAGGGAATGAATGGACATGCGAAGGGCTTCCAAATGAGGAGGCCATTGTTGCGGCTCAATGGGAAGGTTGTTGTGTGTGCGGTCGCGACAGCGGAGCATTGTGTCCCTTTGAACTCACTCGGTTTCCATTTCGTGCGCTCGGGCAACCTTGCGTTCACCCTTGGGCCCACGCCACACCACAAGCGAGGGATTGTGTGACGGAAATGCCACCGGTGCTGCAGTTGCAGTCTGTGACGGTCCTCTTTCTGGACCGATGTCACGTTGGTATCTGAGAATCCTCATATTGGTAGCTTTTCTTCAAAACTGGGTGCAGGGGGAGTTATTCAGCTCTTTGAAGACTGCCACTGATCTCCTTGCATTGTGTGGGATTCAACAGCAGAGCATTTTAGTCCGGGCATCCAGGAGGGACAAGCTCTCTTTGTTCCATTGGTTTGTTTTTGGAAGGACGGAAAGCCCTTCTTAAAACATATCCATAAGCCAACTTTTGAAGTCCTAGAAAAAGTCTAAGAACATAAGAAGAGCCCTCTGGGATCAGACCAATTGTCTATCTAGTCCAGCATCGTTTCTCACACAGAGGCCAACCAGTTCATCTGGATGGACAACAACAGGACATAGAGCCAAGAACTTCCCCTGATAAGAACATTAGAGTCCTGATGGATCAGACCAGAGGTCCATCTAGTCCAGCATCTCATCTCACACAGTGGC